AGCGGGTACAGAACTCACGAGGCACCTGTTCCCCGCGGGTGGGGCAGCGGGTAGGCCTCTGCCCGCCGTTCTGCCCGCAGGTACCACTCTGTACACCAAAATAATCCCTTCGGGGATTTTCAACAACAAGTCCAAATTCAAGTCCAAAACACCCAAAATCTCACACACAACAACAATATGACTTGAACCCAAGAAATAGCAAGCAATGGCATTCAAGAACCCTAAGAACAAGCTCTAAACATGCATTACCATAAGACAATGCATCAAATCTCACATTTCAACACAAGAATCACAAGTAGAAACCAAGAATCATCATATAAGTAAGAAAATAGGTTTTCTAAAGCATGGGTTACCTTTGTAGCCTAATAACTTCCTCTTTTCACCCTTAGAAAGCCTTTCCTAAAGCTCCTCTTCCACACCAACCAAAAGACAACAAAGATTCTATCTTTAGAAAAAGACACCTAAAAGGAGGTTAAAAACACCAAAAGACCAAGGATCTTACCCTCCCCTATGCTCAAGATGAAGAAAGTAGGAATCTTGGGAGATAAACTTGCAAGACTTGGGTGCTCAAATCCTAGCTTGGAGAAGAAGCTACACCTTTTTAGAGAGAAGCTAGAGATTTTGTGTTTATATTGTAGGGTGAATGAAATGAAAGGGTATTGCTAGGTTAGCTTGAACCACAAACCGTAGGTAGAAAGACATTCCTACCCTTACTAATGTTAGGAAGACAAGGGAACAAGAGCACAACTCAAGAAGCACAAGGTACAACTCTTTGACTTAAGTGACTAGTCAAAATCTAGAGAAAATTTAAATTTTGGTCCACTGACTATTGGAGTTGTGTTAATTGCAACACTTGACTTTCAAAAATGTTAATTTAGTACCTTGACTATACAATTTCTATCAATTTTGGTCACGCCGGCCAAATCTCACCGAAAAAATTTAATAGGTCAAATAATGGGGGTATTTTAGTCATTTTACTCATTTTCTTTCTTCTCCGATGAGTTTCTCCATTTCCGGCGACGTCCTTCTCCATTTCCTTGCTCTCAACTTAGGCCATGAATTCAAAAGAAAATCACTACTCTAGAAAGCAGACTTTTCTCTTTTGAAATTTGTTTTTAAATATTCAAATTTGATAATTTTGATAACATAAACTCATTCCGACAAATTAAGTTTAAAGCTGCATTGCAGGTGGAGCTATGTGGGCACGCCACTCTAGCGGCTGCGCATCATCTCTTCGCAAATGGTTTGGTGAGAACTGAGACGGTGGAGTTCACCACACTGTCTGGGGTTTTGACTGCCAGAAAGTTACCCGACGACCAAGCAGCCGACAATAGAGAAAAAAAATTGATTTGAGAGCAAGGAAATGGAGAAAAATGTTGCCGGAAATGGAGAAGAACGTCGTTGGAAATGGAGAAGCTCATCGGAGAAAAAAAAATGGGTAAAATGACTAAAACATCTTCATTATTTGACCTATTAAATTTTTCCGGTGAGATTTGACTGACCATTTGGCTGGCGTGACCAAAATTGATAGAAATTGCATAGTCAAGGTACTAAACTAACATTTTTAAAAGTCAAGTGTTGCAATTAACACAACTCAAATAGTCAGTGGAGCAAAATTGAAATTTTCTCCAAAATCTAGTCCCTCAACTATTGAATTTCAGGATTTTTAAGAATAAATTAACAAAGAGACTAGGATTAACTCTCTAATTAATCCTTGATTAGAGTTTGGATTTACGGGGTGTCACAGGTTGGGTGTGTCCCGTACGATTGTGCGGTTAAATATGAGTCATTGATCTTGCCTAAATCAACATCTAGGATTAAAAATGATTAAAAACGCAGTGGCAATTTGGTCTTTTTGCACCTAGGTCAAATTTATGGTGAGTGATTTTTCTTCTTAAGGTGCGTGATTTTTGTGCTTAAAGTGCGTGGTTTTTGTACTGTGTTGCTTAAGGTGCGTCAATTATTGAAAATTTAAGTGCGTCGATCTAAAGCTTTAGGTGCGTAGTTTTCCTTCTTAAGGTACGTGGTTTGTGTGCTTAAGGTGCGTTAGTTATTGAAACTTAAGGTGCGTTGGCCTAAAGCTTTAGGTGTGTGGTTTTCCTTCTTAAGGTGCGTGATTTTATGCTTAAGGTGCATCAGTCATCGAAACTTAAGGTGCGCCAATTTAAAACATTAGATGTGTGGTTTGTATTCTTAAGGTGCTTTGTTTGTGTGCTTAAGGTACGTGATTTGTGTATTTAAGGTGCGCCATTTTAATGCTTAAGGTTAGCTGCGTCAATTCTACACTTGTGCATCTTTTTGTTTTAACCGCACAATTGCACGGGAAGTTATCTTTACACCTGATCAATTCCATATATATATATATATATATATATATATATATATATATATATATATATAAAGATTCTAGAAAGTACACTACTTTCATCAACTAATCCCTGCCAAGGTGGCAAATTATGTTGTGCAACCGTGTGCACCATGCATGATGCACACGGAATTAGATCCATAATTTTTATATTATAGATTTATAATTATTGAACTTTATATTCACAATTACAAAACTCTATGTTCATAATTTTCAATGTTCATATTCCCAATTGTTGAACTCTGTATTCACAAATCACTAAACTATATGATAATAATTTGATAATTGTATGGTTTAGAAATTATGAATCTATAGTATAGAAATTATGAATCTATAGTTTAGAAATTATGAATCTACAGTATAAAAATTATGAATCTATAGTATAGAAATTATAGATCCAATTCCTTGTACACCTTGCATAGTGCACACGGTTGCACATCATAACGCTCAATCATTATTGTGTGGATCATGGTCTACACAAGTTGTGCGGATCATATTTTGTCTACTTTAAAATAATGTACATTCAGTACAAAAATAATATACATTTAATATATTAAAAATATACTTTTTATTATGGTCACATTACATTGTGTGGACCATAATTGTCCCATAACGCTCCTGCCAAGGTTTAGCCAAAGTTTGTGAAAAATAGACGGAATTCATCTCTAAAGGGTTTCATTTTAAAAAAGAAATGAAGCCTGTAAACAAACAATGAATCCATGGGCATTTGAACCTGAATATCCCGTCATTGAAAAACACATGCGGATAATTATCCAAACAAAATGTACGTATAACAAATTGGGCCAAACTTAGGTGTTATGCTACCAAATTTAAAATAATATTTACAACTCTACATTATTTAAAATATTATTTACATTTTATGATAGCACAATTAAAACATTAATCCACTAATACTATATAAATCTCTAACATCTAATTTTAAACCGAAATGAACAATTCTAGTTTTACATACACATGAACTTAAATTGAGTCCTTATAAATTTGAAATTGAACAAAAAATTAACTATTAAAAAGATGGTCTCCTACCAAAAAAAAAAAAAAAAGATGGTCTCCTTTTTTATTTATTTATTTTTAAATTATAAGGAGGACAACTCCCCACTCAATCTAAACGCATTTCAAGTGCAAAATTCCCACCTTATCAACGGGCAAAAGCTACACACATGAATGAGGTAGAACTTGTATAGTCCACAATATTCTTCAGTCATGACAAAGAACGCCTACCAAGTAATCAATTACCCAGGGCATCATAAGTAGATCTCCTTTGAAAATACATAGTAATAAATTAATACATCAATAAGTAAAAATTAACCCAACAAAATTGTTAACCCGGCATCAATAAAAATAAAATGTTAACTATTAACATCAATCATCAGTTATCATATATTCATATTAAGGAGTTTAAATGATGTTGAATAGAAAACACTTTCAATTTTAAATACATTAATTAATTTAAATCAGGACCTTATAAGTTTTTTTTTTTTTTTAATTTTAAATTAAAACTAAATAATCATTTAATTTCAAACCTAAACATGTGCAGGCCGGGCCAAAATTACACGGCAAATTATGCTGTGAGTACGTGCTCACTTTGCAAAGTGAGCACGGTTTCATATCCATAATTTTTATACTGTAGATTCATAATTTTTATATTGTAGATCCATAATTTCTATTTTATAGATTTATAAAATTTATACTTTAGATTTCAATTGTTGAACTCTGTTTTTCACAAATCAGAGAACTATATGTTCATAATTTGATAACTATACAGTTTAGAAATTATGAATTTATAGTACAGAAATTATGAATATACAGTACAAATATTATGAATCTACAGTATAGAAATTATGAATCTGCAGTATAAAAATTATAAATTTTATGTATAAATTTTATAAATCTATAATATAAAAATTATGGATCTACAATATAAATATTATGAATCTATAATATAAAAATTATGAATCTACAATATAAAAATTATCAATATGAAACCGTGGTGTAGTGGGCACGTGACGTTCCAAATTACACATGCATCTAATAATAATAATAGTAACCTTGCCCATACCCACACGCATTCCTAAGAAAATACTAATACGGCATTAGCAAAAAGGCCTATTGTTCCCACTATGAAGGAAAATGAGTTTGACCAAACAAATAACAACATGAAATTTGTGTATAAAATTGCACAAAAGGACAGATCCAACAACCCCCACCAATCACGTACTCCCATCAAGGCATGAAGTACTGACCCAGAACTGCACAGAACAATCTACCTACTCCTCCCACACCCATTAGCCACAAGCCAATAGCTTATTAACTTCTCTCTAGATTTAGCGGCTTACCATAATTGATTCATAGCATAATTTTAAAAGTTATGACTGGAAATTATTGCGCGAGTTTAAATCAAAATAAAATATATATAAGGAAAAAGTCGAAAGATAATCTTTGTGCAGTTATGTTACATGTGGACTAAAATCTGACTAGTAAACTAATTTTGCTATATAAATGGACTTAAGATTAGTCAAACAAAACTGGGGTTTAAAAAAAAATAAAATTAAAAAGCTATTAAGTATAAACCACCAACTCTTATGGTGCAGAGTGAGTCGCTCAATCTCGCTGTATATATATACCCCAAACATCCCCGCTATTGCCATAAGCCCATAACCTTCTCTCCCTCACTTTGAACTGGTTATCTCTTGTTCCAGATCCAAACTTCATTCAACTCAGGTACGTTAAGATCTAGAACTTGGCATTACTTTCTCGTGTTTATAGAAGTGTTTTCTTTAGTGGGTTGTTTCTCTATGAATTCGAAGCTGTAAAGATCGAACCTTTGATGGGTGGCTTAGGTAGTTTGTATTGATTAATGGTAATGTTTTGTAGGTTGATGCGAAATTAGATCTGTGGGTTTATGCATTAGTGTCTATATTGATTCATATGTTGTGTTGTGACTTGTGAGTGTGCAGATCTGATGGCTCCATTAATGAAGCTTTATTGAAATGTCAAAGATAGGCTTAAGTTTAGTGTGATTTGTGTTTGTAAAAGAAATGAAATTGATGTGAATTAGGATCTTGAATCCAATTAATGATTAAATCTTAAAAGTTTGTGATATGTTTTACATTTGGTTTGGTTACATGAGATAAGAAACTGATCAAAGTTGTGTCCTTATTTGTGAATAGAAAAGGAAGATGGATTCGTTCTTGTTCACCTCAGAGTCTGTGAATGAAGGTCACCCAGACAAGCTGTGTGACCAAGTCTCAGATGCCATTCTTGATGCTTGTTTGGAACAAGATCCAGACAGCAAGGTGGCCTGTGAGACGTGTTCCAAGACGAATATGGTTATGGTGTTTGGAGAGATCACGACGAAGGCGAAGGTGGACTATGAGAAGATAGTTCGTGATACCTGCCGAGGGATTGGGTTTACCTCGCCAGATGTTGGTCTCGACGCTGATAACTGCAAGGTCCTTGTGAACATTGAGCAACAGAGCCCCGACATTGCCCAGGGAGTTCATGGTCATTTCACCAAGAAACCCGAGGAAATTGGAGCTGGTGATCAAGGCCACATGTTTGGTTACGCCACTGATGAAACCCCCGAGCTTATGCCTCTTACTCATGTCCTTGCTACCAAGCTGGGTGCCAAACTCACCGAGGTGAGAAAGAACAAAACTTGCGCGTGGCTGAGGCCTGATGGTAAGACCCAAGTTACAGTTGAGTACAGAAACGAGAATGGTGCTATGATCCCGGTTAGGGTTCACACTGTTCTCATCTCGACCCAACACGATGAGACTGTTACCAACGATCAAATCGCCAAGGATTTGAAAGAACACGTGATCAAGCCTGTGATCCCGGCTAAGTATCTTGATGACAAGACCATCTTCCACCTTAATCCATCAGGCCGCTTTGTGATTGGTGGTCCACACGGAGATGCTGGACTTACTGGCCGCAAGATTATTATCGACACATATGGAGGGTGGGGAGCTCACGGTGGAGGTGCTTTCTCCGGGAAGGATCCTACCAAGGTGGACAGAAGTGGTGCCTACATTGTTAGGCAAGCGGCCAAGAGTGTGGTGGCCTCAGGACTTGCTCGTAGATGTCTAGTGCAGGTTTCATACGCCATTGGTGTGGCAGAACCTCTTTCGGTGTTTGTTGACACTTACAAGACGGGTAAGATTCCAGACAAGGATATATTGGTTCTGATTAAGGAGAACTTCGACTTCAGGCCCGGAATGATCACAATCAACCTCGACTTGAAGAGAGGGGGTAAGTTTAGGTACCAGAAGACTGCTGCATATGGTCACTTTGGCCGCGATGATGCTGACTTCACCTGGGAAACCGTCAAGATCCTCAAGCCCAAAGCTTGAGTTTTTTTTCTGCACCCATTGTTCTCGTTGCAGACCAATAAACGAGCTGAGCACATTTGATAGTGGGGTAGTTAGAGAGAGGATTTTAAGATTTCTCAGTAGTTGTTTTTAGCTTTTCCAGTGTTTATTTGTTTTGAGGCAACAATTAGTGTTTTTGGATTATTGTTTCATTTTAATTAGGTTGAGTTTGTGAAAATGAAGTTTGTGACAGTGCATTCAGTTTGAAGTAATCTCTGTCCTTTTTTTTTCCTTGCTATTTTTCATGGATGAGAAGCACAGATAAATCAGGGCATGGAATCAGTTCCTTCACAGAAAGTGACAGAACAATTCATACATACGCCAACATAAATTCAATTTTGACTGATTTGACCAAGTTAATAAGCTACTTTAATGGGTTGTTTGTGTTAAAAGAAATAGAGAGACAAGGGAGAAAGGGAGAATCATGTCTTCATTCATCTGTATCCCTTCCATTACACATACAATACATATATATAATACCGAGTAATAATGGCATACATAATGACACATTAATATGTCTGTTACAAACGTTACAAAATAATGGCCACCATTAATATTTATAACACTCCCCCTTGGACATTATTTGTCCATAATCTTGCCTCGTTAAAACTTGCTAGGAAAACCCTGTGGGAAAAAACCTAGACAAGAAAAGAGTACAATAGCAAATATATTCATGCCTCATTAAAAACTTCACTAGGAAAACCACGTGGGAAAAACCTAGTTGAAGAAAAGAGTACATGATATATATAAAAACATATATTGTATTTGGTCGCCTCATTAAAAACCTTAACTTGAGAAAACCCTGTGGGAAAAACTTAGTTAAGGGAAAAAGAGTACAACCATAAGCCTTCAGGGCGCAAACCGCATAATCTTTAGGATTTTGGGGTTTGTCCGTTTAAGCAATTATTTTGCAACTTTTCCTCATTGTCATTACTATATCATACTCATGCCTCGTTAAAAACCACACTAGAAAACCCAATGGGAGAAAACTAGTGAGGAAAAGAGTACATGATATTTATGTATTTATGTGTTGCAAATAGTGCGCAATTGTTAGTCTTTTATGACTTAATATTCAGGATTTTACGTTCAATGTTCAATCTTCCGGATTGATTCGAGTAAATGTACTTCCAGTCTCCCCCTGAAGATAACAATCTTCAAGTTCTACATATATTTCAAATTTTGAAGAGATGGATTGGACAAATCTTCTGGATTGTCACTTAGAGTAGTGTACAATAATCTTATGGCTCTTCTAGAGCTAATATAACATTTGTGCAACACAAGTGTTATTGTCCTCATTTTGAACATTTAGGGAAATTCATTGTATAACCAGTTTGGACTTGGCATTGCGGGGATCAAACAAAACAGCCAGTACCCAAGTAGCCTATTAAAACCATATCATGGTTTCTTACATAAATGTCATGTCTTTGTATCTCGAAGATACCGGAGGATATGTTAATCATTATTCAAGTACTTCATTTGTAGGGGGGGCACTAGATTTTGCTAGCAATTTTATCGCAAATATGTTGGGGTTATGGAACTTCTGGTTCTATAATGGTGCTCCAATGATAATGAAGTAAGGGACTTCGAGTCCAAAAAGGTTCCTTATCTACTTCAAGAGATTATTAGGCAACCTTTAGTTTGATAAAAACATGACACTTATATGCATATAGACATATGAAAAAGCATTTTTAGATGTAGGCTGACTGGTGTATATAAAAAAAAACTGTAAAGAAAAACTCGATCTTCAAGTCGAGATAATACTTATAGCTTTCACAAGCTTTTTGTTTCAAAAGTCTCAGTCTTTAAACATGAACTGACATCATCAAGCTCTTTATATCTTTCATTGATGTTTACACCATCAATCTTGACTGAGATAATAAATAATAAATAAGTTCATTATCAACCCTTTATCGAGCACACAATGGTACATATTATTCCTTCAATGAGGATATTAACTCCATTCGCAACCCTTTAAAGAGTAAATAATGACACATAATAATACTTAAATAAATCCTTATTTCGAGAATTATGAATCCATCCAGGATTTCTCAAAATAAATTTAACTGCATATCTAAATTTATTATTCTGCCAATTGTATTATGTTGCGGAACTTAATGCCATTTACCGTGGGAAAGTATATTTGATTAAAATCAATTAAGGGTCTCTGCGTGAACCCATAGGCTACAAACTCGCTTCATCACCTCATTATTCTTATTTCTCTTTCATGCACACACCCATATGTAACCTTCAGGGTTAACGCTCAAATGGTGCATTATTATAAAGAGAATTATCCATTTTAGCGAGTTCAGCTATGCCTTAATTGCTCCTTTATACGTTAAATAGTCATGACACTTCCGGTGCCTAACTCTGGATCCAGATTATTATCATATAACGGAGCAATTTGTAATGGCAATTGTGTTGTCGACAACTATAACCTTTTTATAAATGTCTCCCACATTTGTAAAAGTAATGGCAATTTCTAAAACAACCAGATTCTATACATTTCCCAAAGATATTTTGATCTGGTCGTTCCGCATCCCTAGTATTGTGTTTGTTTGGTGCACCTATAAATTGACTAGGGTTTCTCGTCATCTGGACGAGCGTCTTCAGGACTAAAATATTCAATGCTATTTCAAGAGTGACAATATTTTTATACTAGATCTAGTATAATGATTCTTATTTCTTACACTGATGGATCTCCTATACTTCTGGTATCAAGGAGTATCGATATATTTGGTCCAAACTGGGGAAGGTATATGGGACCTAGTCACTCTTTTATGATTAGTATGACCAATATATGTATTTAGCAGATTATTTGCTAATATCGCAAGTAGATTATCTTTTGAACTTCCAGTTCAGTCTAACTAGTACATGGATTTAAATAATGAAGATATTTTCATTCTATGAAATTTCTTGGCATTCTATTAAATTTGAACTCTTATCTCCCCCTAATGCCGAGAAGCAATCTTCATTAATTAAGTATGCAGTCAGCGTACCTAAGGATATATATTGGTCTCCTATCATGTGCTCTTGGTATTAGCTGATCAAGAGACAGAGGGTTCTTTGGTAGCCTTTTTAGAGGTACGCTGTGGTGGTGATGTATTTGAAATAGACTGCGCACTATAAATAATAACGCAGATAGGGAAATGTTTATTTTTAAACCATGTACTAGGCATAACAATCCTTGAGGGATTGGTTTGTGATATGCAATGAGTTAGATTTGGATTTAGAACAAAAGTATATCCCCAAAACAGATAATTCAGTAATTTTTCCTTCACACATGCTCTATAAAGTACTCATGTGGATAAGAAATTGTAATATCTAACTCATTATGTTTGCCCTAAGAGACCCAATTGGTCATGCCGTAATTTAAAAAATGGGTCTCTAAAAAAAATAAAGATTATCACAACAAAATAAGTTGTCAAATGTATCCGGGTTGGACTTCCATTTGGAAGGTTGTGAGTTCGAGCCTCAGTGGAGGCGTTATTGGCTCTTTGTGTTTCAATAGGTTGAGAAAGAATATGAACAGATACTACAATACTACAATGTAATAGAGCTAGTAGCATTCAAAAAAAATCACAAGTGGCATATAAAATCAGATAGGGCAAGCATACACATTGAACAAAATGATTGAAACATTCGATAATCTTAGGGAGATTAAATGCCAAATATTAGCAATTTATTTGCTTCAGGCAAACCAGCATGGTGTGACTCACTTTTAGCTGTTAAGCACATAACATTTTTGCATAGTAGCATTGCATTAAAAAATAGAAGTTGCAGACTTCATTCATGAGTCATTAGTCATCCAAAAATCAATCTCATCAGGGGTCTTCCAGACCTTATTAGATAAATAGCCCAATGACACATTGTCAAGTATGGAAGGTTTAAAGCTCAAAGAGTATATTTCCACGAAAGTTAAGTGTTGTTGTCTTTTAAAAAATCGACGACACTCAAAGCACTTAGTATAATTTTGTCATGTACTACTACTGGAGTACTATGTGACTATCATAGATGACAATGTTTAAAATAGTTTTGGTCATGTACTTCTACTGGAGTACAATGAATTCATGTACCATCCGGAAGGTAACATCCGGGAGGTAAAATTAGGGAAGTAAAAACTAAGTAGTAAAATCTGGGAGGTGAACTTTGAGAAGTAAAATTCAATAATTAGCTTTCCAGATAACCAAGAATTAATTGTTCGGATCATGCATTGTATGCATTGGGGGATCATAATGATATTATAGACTCATGGTAATCCTTCAGGGATTGACTTAGGGTTTATGGATCCTCTCCGGTCAAATATGCATAATAGAGGGCTTACGACAAAGGGTGACAATAAAAACTAGTGCTCTTAGTGGTTACCTTCTGGGCAAAACTATATTAAAAATTAGGCACAATCATCTTGTTTAAATACTGAAATTTGAAATTTATTTCAATGTCAAAGATTCATGTGAAACAATGCTATAATAAATTAGCACAACCAACAATCTTGAATTTGGACAAATAACAATTGATGACTTTTAATATCAGTACCAAGTCAATTTTACATTTGGGAAATTTGTCCTGGTGCTATTATCATATATCATTGTAGCAACAAATTTGCCTTCCGGGAAAAGCTATATTCAATATTTATGCTATATATCACAATATTTAGACTCATATCAAGATCAAACTAAGGTTTAGCAACGACAGGTGCAACCTAACAATGAAAGACCTTATTGAGAATTCATACTATTGTCTCACATATAAGTTGTGTGATAAATCTCAACCCTTATGGCCTATAGCAAATAATTAATTGCCAACAAGAGAAATAACAAATTCTCTTATATGAGCCTAATCGAGAGATTACATGCTAAATATTGTCAATTTAAAATAAGCATATTCAATATGTGATATAATTGTCCCTTGTGTCATGGACACCAAAAAATCTCAATTAAGTCATGCACATCCACTTTAAACAAAGAGTATCATGTGTGGTACACACAATGCATGACATGAAAAAAAAGAGATTCTATTAATTCATAAATTAGAAAATAAATTAGAGAATAAAATGAGAGAAGTACCATTCGCCAAAGGATAACGAGCACATGTTTCACTGCCGGGCCCATTCATTCCTATTTCGGGGAGTCAAAACCAGCACTTTTCCAAGCAAGCTCTCATTTTATCTCATAGTTTCATACAAGTATGAAAACATCACAAAAATAGCAAGATATACAAGCTGAAATCGGTGAAAATTTTCAGAATTTTGACTTGGATTGCAGAATTTTCTGGGTAAAAAACGGTAACACATTTTGACACAAAATTTTGCAGGTATGTAGTTCAGTAAGTCTAGAACATACATAAAAATTTTCATGTCAATCCAAGGTGTGGAAGTATTTTTTCTGAAATTTTTCCCAACACTGCTCCAGGCAGAAAAATAATTGGCATGACACTGCCAGAACTTTACGGAATTTTTCTGGAACAACCAAAGCATATTTTTGAGAAATTCTTTTTAAAGATATCAAATATCATAAGTCTAGGTTCTCCAGAAAAAAAATTTCAGGCCAAATGAAGTTCAACAAGTATTTTTCACGAATTTAGTGTTCAAATTGCGCCGATCAAAAATTTTTATGGCAACGATTACTATGTGTGAAGATCATTCTTTCTAGACACCATAAAAACACCAGATATACAATATATGGAGTAATCACGTCAAGTAAGCATATCGCAATATTTCATGTACCAGTCATAATGCTCTAAAGGACATGGCATTCATAGTTGTTAAGAAAATAAACAGATCCCACTTTTTTGAAGAAAAACCTTTGACAACAAAGAGGGAAGATACACCCTTCAGCAATTATTTGTTTACTTCAGAGCTCTCTATTGTCAAGTTTTCAGAGATCCTAAAAGTTTGTTGCTGAAACATAGGATATGAACATTGACACACAATGATGCATACACATGAATTACAAACATCTCTTGCAGAGTTGGTAAGTAGTAGCTGCTCTAGATCATTCGATGATGCTCACAAATGGTTCGCAATGGGCCACCACAAGATTAAAATAATTAATAAATAGAGATGGATAATGCTTTAGATGATTCGCAATTAAGGGGATATACCATCACACACCATAAATTACATGAGAATATATGCAGAGCATATGAAATCAAGTAGAAACACTAGCAAATAGCTTTTCAGAATTTCTATCCATAACCTTGGAATTTTCAATAGGTTAAGAGAAGAGTTACCAACGCGTGGGTTTCGATCCGCAGCGTACGAAGCCGTTTAGCAGTTACAATCGTCAAAACATGTATTTCATGTGATTGAGATGCAGACAGATTGAATAGTCATAGAAACAGATAAACCAACAATTTCAAAAATATTCATATATAGATGAATCTAAAACCCTATGACTTAAAAGGTCAGAAATTGGAATGTTTAACCTGGGGGTTTCCATTGTTGGTGTGTCAATAGAGCTTCAGTATGCCTCATCATCTCGGTCACTCACCATTCATCGTCTCTCACGAACGATCGGACGTCGCAGTCCGAGACCAGATTGGCCTTCTCTTCTCGGCGATCCAAACAAGACTTGATTGGTCTTCGCAGCTGGCAATTGGCCTTCGACGAACGGAGGTCTCCGGGAGTCAATGTGCCGCCGGTCGCTTTCTACCGAACATCTCCGTAACGTCTCCGATAATCATTGGGTAGAGCATCACTGCTGATAACGTGTTAAAAGAAATAGAGAGACAAGGGAGAAAGGGAGAATCATGTCTTCATTCATCTGTATCCCTTCCATTACACATACAATACATATATATAATACCGAGTAATAATGGCATACATAATGACACATTAATATGTCTGTTACAAACGTTACAAAATAATGGCCACCATTAATATTTATAACAGTTTGATGGTAGATATGAATTGCATTGCAATCACAATTTTTTGCCCATCCCAATTATAATGTTTGATTGGAGGGAATTATAATTTCACATAATTGCAATTTCCTCCTTTTGTTGAATTACAATTCATGGGATAAAATCCCATGAATTGCAATTCCATTGGATTGTAAAAAAATGAAAAATGGATGAAATGACATTACTACCCTATTCATCCCTACAAAATAACATAAGAGTAGTCTTTGATTAGTTTATTAACTTTAATTATGAAATTATCATTTTACTCATTATTCCTAACATTAATATCTCTTGTGAACATCTTCCTTGCCCCTTTTTATTTTTGTTTTCATAACAACAATAATAATGTTTTTCTTTTTTTTTTTTTTTTATTATTATCACTAGATCTTTTACTTGCGCAAATAAAATAATGCATAAAATGATAGTCTAAACACTTAGTCTAAAAATGATAGTCTAAATAAAATAGTTTGGTTTAAATTTCTCTAATTCTTCTTAGGGTCTGTTTGGTTTCCCTTGCCGGAAGAAACCAGAGAGAACTTCTCCCTAGTTTCCCTCGCCGGAAACACCGGGGCGAGGGAAACCAGAGAGACTTCTCTCTGGTTTCGTCAGTATTCTTTTTTTTTAATTAATTTTTATAATTTTTTAATAATTAATATTATTTGATTTTAAAAATAAATTTTATTATAATTTTTTTAAACAAAATAATTAATTATATAAAATGGTTAATTATATAATTCTATCTCATTTTCCAGAAAATGAGCCAAACACACAAAGACTGTTTTCTGTCGTGGTGCCAAACGCAAGAAAGGAAAATGTTTTCCAGAAAATGAGTCATTTTCCGGAAAACATTTTCCAGAACTCATTTTCTTGCTTTCCAAACGGACCATTAATTCTCTTTTGGGTAGCATAGTCATCTTCAGTACATGTCCTCTTTTTTTTTTTTTTTTTTTTTTTTTTATTGGTAGTGTGATATGTGCAATTGAGTTACTGGTAGCATGGATGGATTCATCATGCAATGAGATTATGGTGTAGGAAGTTTTAGATTTGCCTTGTTGTATATATGATGGGATCTTAGTTGTACTATTAACTCTTTATCTTACAAGAACCTATTGGTATTTGGTAGTAGTAGTTTTTTCCCTACATGTTTCATGCATTGTGAGATGTGCGTGGTAGGTTATCATGTGAACAAAATATTAATATTTATTATATTTGTATAAAATACTTGGTAAATAAATATTTATTATATTTGTTAAATAAATATATATAACATATTTTGTATTATAACGTTGATATTTAATTACAAGATAATGTGAAAAGAAGACAATGGACAATGTAGTAAATATAATAAATTAAAAAATTTGAAGGTATGAATCGTAGAAAATAAATATAATATAACTAATGAAATTATATCTCGTTTTAAATATTTTATAATGAATAATTTTTTTAAATAAAGGCATTATAGACATCTAATTCTAAATTAATGAAATGCATATGTATTATTTTTTGTTGTAACTACTACTTTATTTCTACAATCTATCTACAATTTTAATAAAACCGAATATTGTTAGATCCTTAACTGGAACAAAAAAAAAATGTCGGTAAGCCACATGCTCAACAAAATTGTACTTTGCGCTTTCTAATTGTACAATGCCAACTTAAATTCCTAATATAACCTTTTTCTTCTAAATTATACCAAACTTTCACTGTTAAACTTAACAATTCTGTCAAAAGAATATAGCGGTGGCAAATTTGAAGTTTCTGTAAAATTAAATGGCAATTACTAGGACTCAGTTTCCGTAGCCCTTCTCCTCCACTTTACCGCGATGAAGACTGCCAGCCGCCTTACTAGGACTCAGATTCCATAGCCCTTCTCCTCCGGTTTACCGCGATGAAGACTGTCCGCGCCTGAGCCTCCTTTCATCGGAAGGAAGAAGAATCACACACCTCCGGTTTACCGCGATGAAGACTGCCCGCGCCTGAGCCTCCTTTCACCTAGGTCTTCATCGTATTTTCACTAGAAATCCCAATTTCGAAAAACCCTTGCCCGAGCCACAGCTCATGATTCTAGAGCTACCAGGAAACAAGTAGAGGTACTCCGGCATATAATTGCCGTCGGTTGGTTTTCTTGCTTTTTCATTGTGTTTTTCAATCTAATTGTCGTCTGTTGGTTTTCTTGCTTTTTCATTGTGTTTTTCAATCTTTCAATGTTTCAGGTGGGGTCTAAAGTCATTTTTGTTGTTCTTGGTGGTTCTGTTATTAGATAGCATATGATCTAAAAGAAAAGATTGTACAATAAATTAGCCGATGAGGACAATGAGTTTAGGGAAATAGCCTATTGTTCATGAGAATTACAGGCAGAAGAGAAGCTGGGTTTCATGATTTGGCATCTCTGTTTCATGTAAGTATCTCTTACTCTCTTTTAGAAGATAATGAGATTAGGAAAATAGTCTATTGTTGTAGCTATTCATATGAATATAAGATATTCTGTCCCATAAATTATTATATTATACTGTTTCAATTTGGTTGCTGACAGTTATTTTACGGTTCTTTATTTGATAACTCAAGGATTTTATGATACTTTGATTTAAGTATTTATTGTTAATTTAATGGTACTATTTGTAATTTGATTCGAGGTTAATATAATCTAGCACATGGTGAAAGTATACTATTTAAGCTTCTCTAGAGTTTCAAATATCCACAATTTATTAGGATCATGGTGAAAGTGATCTATGTTGGGATTCCAGAGACCTTTTCCTTCTTTCTTTGTTCTCTGTGTCCCCAATGTAGAAGGCAATTGCTGAAGCAAAATAAGAATTTATGCATCCCATGCATAACTTTTTAAGCTTCTTTGGATTTTGAAATAAACACAATTTCCCTAGATTATGGTGACAGTGCTGTAAGTATAAGATTGACTTTGTCGAATTTGAAACACTGACTCTGGGGTTATTGCCTCCCTCCTCTACAAGATTGTTAAATGATTGATCATTCATAAATTTTCTGTTTTCCCTTATCGTGTTGCTTCTTTCAAGTTGGCTTATGTTTGTTATCTTGGGAATTAATATACAAATTGTGCTGGAAAGGCAGTCAGGTTTCACTTGCTCTATAAGTTCTCTGCCATCTTTAACTTTTGATTGTCTCATTCTCTTCCCGGTATGAAGGTCTATGTTACTGATAAGAAAGAGTTAATAATGGAGCCATCATTCAAATGTGCAGGCAATCCTAATGTCACTATTGTTGGTAAAGCATTTGGGTTGAAAGCAACTGCTCAAGTTTTGCACTTCTCTAAATGTTTTATATTTTATTCTTTTTCTTTTTGTAAAAGGTTTATATTTTATTCTATGTCTTTATAAACATATAACCTATTAATGTATATTTCAGGTTGTAGATCTACAGATCTTTGTAGTATGCATCACCTTGAAACCTTTGGTCCATAGCTTTCCATGTTTTGTCAATAATTATTCCGCATTATGTAACCCTTTTTTGTGTGTAATACTAAAAAAAAAAATTTATTCTTTTATAAATGCCACAAAATAAAAGGATTAGAAATGTCATCATCAACTTCAAAAACTAATGTTTTCATCAATTATTAGTTATTTTGTACTTTTTTTTTGTTGAAATATCATCATATAATCAAGTTTTAATGCTTTGTTGCTAGGCTCATTAGACCGGACAAGAAATCAATTAGTATTTTGAAATTTTATTTCCAATTTCCTTATCATTTATATTACAATAAACATGCACCAATATTATTCTTTTGGACAAATTAAAAATCTATTGCGATGCCGATTATATTATGAACATTTATTCTAATGTATAGTGATATTCTTTATTTATTTGTTTTAACTTTATGCATTGGGCATTGATTAATTCGCGCAAAGCGCGTGATATCACTAGTAATTCAATAAGAGTAATAAAGTGGCGTACATATTATTCATTAATAATAATGAAATCATTGATTTTTTTTTTAATTTACATTCGTTGTTGAGACAAATTGTTTTGAGAGTTTGTCAACGACAATCGTTACAAATCCGGCCAATAGAGGATGATAATAAATAATTCAAAATATATAGTTACAATAGATAGTGTTATAATGATATACGGAGTAGTAAAAATTAACTTACAAATTTCTTTGGAAGTTTTAATGCATTGATAAAATTCTGATGTGTAAACTTATTCAATTAGAGCCAGTGGGATGTCAACATTGTCAATTCGTTAGAAAATGGTCCTACCGTTTTAGAGTCCAGGTGTAATTGTATTTATGATCAACAACTTTGTAGTTAGGTCGCACAAGCCTGACAATGATGTAAGAACAATTTTGTCCGATAAAAAAAATAGTATAATATTTGTAAAGTAATGTACAATTGTACCATTATAAAAATACATACAAAAAAATATTAATACCATAACGACCTAAATTATACCAATAATATAAAAGTATAATTAAAATATTAAGTTCTGTTATGATCTAAATAATCAAAAGAAGATTAATTAAACGAAAAAAAATGTAACCTAAATTTGTTTGTTTGTTTGTTTGTTTTTTAAATGCATAAAAATCAAATGATTTTAAAAGTTCTTGATTTATAATCTTTGATGCTTAACTTTGAATGTTAGGTATTTAGCCGGACTAATTATTTGAACAAAGTTTATGTTAAATTTTATATTATATATATTTTTTAGAGTAAAAGACATTTTTGGTCCTAAACTTATAGTGACATGGACAATTTTGGTCCTTTATAAAAAAAAAATCAGACAATTTGTGGACACTCTTATTGTGACGAGGACAATTTTGGTCCTCCGTCACTCTTCCTGTTAGATGTCTCGTTTGAAAGGGGTATTTGCGTCTTTTAATCCTATCTCCTTCTTCATCATCTGATCTGCTTCTTTACTTACGCAAGTCACCCACCATGGAGCTCATGTAATGGTGGTATGGCTAAGCTTACAGGAAAAAAAAAATGCCCGAATCGGAGTGTAAAGCTCATAGCTTTGAAGCTTTGAGTCTTCTCTGCCATTGAAGAAGCTTTGTTTCTAGGGGGAAACTTTTTTTTGTTTTTTTGTGCTTTTGTTTCTCCTAGATCTCTATTGCACTTGAGATTTGGTATTGGGTTCTGGGGATTATTTTTTTTTCTCAGGTTTCTTGCATTTGCAGATAATAGGAATAAAGTATAATAGCAATAACTTGAGGGGAAAAGTGTTCTTGAAGTTTCTAGGTTTGGGTCTGCAATTTCTTCCTCCTTAGTGCCCCCAGATGCGGCCAAGTTCAAGAAAGGTAGCGGCTTTGTGAGCAATGAACCGGTTTTTATTCTGGATACGAGGAGTCCTAGCCCCTCTACTTCTACCTCCGCTTCCTCATCCACCCTCAGCGGCGGCGGCGGCAACAGCGGGTATAAAACAACAAGTCTAGTGGCTCCTTCCATCGCCACTACCATTCAAACTATGGAGGCTAATCCAGTCGGCATAGGCTCCGGCCATAAAGAGAAGTGCGTGGAAGAGCTTCACCCTGCGCTGGAGTGGAGCGAGGGTCCTGAAAATTTTGATCTTGGAATGGAAGACTGGGAGTGTTTGTTGGCTGAATCCGACGGATTGGACCAGTATCTTCTCCGGTGGATTTCCGGCGACGTGGAAGACCCATCTTTAAGCTTGAAGCAGCTGCTGCAAGGAGGGAATCCAAGTGAGATCCCATTGCAATGTGGGGTTTGGGGCTTCTGATCAAAGCTGTATCCAAATTCTCTCTCATCTCTATTATCTCACGTCTCTCTCTTCTCTAGATTTAATTATACACACCAACATATACATAAGCACGGAAGAGATTTAATTATACACACCAACATATACATAAGCACTGCCGTCCCCCACCATCTTGGTCTCCATCCTCCGACGACCAACACCACACTAGCAGCAAGTGGATCCGGTAAAGAATGAACAACGACGAACAACAGCATCTCCGATGACCTTTGATCTTGGTTTTCCGGCGATGGATGACTGCCGTAAGTAAAGAAGCAGAGCAGATGATGATGAAGGAGGTAGGATGAAAAAACGCAAATACCCCTTCTCAAACAGGGAATTTAACGGGAAGAGTGACGGAGGACCAAAATTGTCCTTGTCAGAGTAAGAGTGTCCACACATTGTCTGATTTTTTTATAAAGGACCAAAATTGTCCATGTCACTATAAGTCTAGGACCAAAAATGTCTTTTACTATATTTTTAAAATATATTTTAATCGTAGTATATGTTGTACAATTATGCCAACTCTAATTGAAATGTGGTTCGAACCTAAGACATTTCTTAATGAGTAAGTTAAAAATAATAAATAGTTAACGGAATATTCCGTTACTAAAGTTTATACTAACAGAATTTAAGTTATTTTAGGAAAGAAAATAATATAATAGAGGATAAATAAGAAAAATCATTAAAAATACTAAAATCAAAATAAATGAACTATTCATTTTAAGAAAATAATACTACCAACATTTTTTTTTATTCCAGTTAAAGGCCTAACATTATTGGCTCTTATTAGAATTGTATGTATAGATGTATAGATGTAGATTACATAAATAAATAAAAATTGTAAAAATAATTTAAGAATTAATAAACTAGCACAATATATTTATGCCCTTATATTTCATTTAAACAACTAATTTATCAAACCACTTTATTATAACCAACTAATACTATCAGTGAAACCAATTAACCCAACTAACTTAGTCAACTATTAGCCATTTTTGCAACCAACTAATACTATCGATCAAAATAGTGTTAACCCAACTAACTTGGTCCATTATCAGCCATTTGCCAAGAAAAAACATGGCGGATTACAGTAGTTGATAACAGCAATAGTACATGTATGATGTTTTTATAACATTGAATGACACACTGCTTTCCCACTAAGAGTGCAACCACAGCCTGTCATGCAGTCTCTCTTCTCCTGCACCGAACATCTCATCAACCCTCTCGCCATCTCGATAGAAATGAAAAGTTGGCGTGTACCGGATGTTCAGAGTAGTCTCTGGACAAGCGTCGATATCAGCATACACGAACGAGAGTTTAGAGAACTTGTTACTCAACTCATAGAATGCGGGAAGCATCTGGCTGCAAACACCACACCTGAAAATGATCAACTGCCTTATTTCAGTGCAGATAATTAGCAGCAGACAATCAGCTTAAAATTGTTTCCTTGTTCTTTTAAGCTCTACTTTTGAAACAAAGACCACTATAATTCTATAAACATAAGAAGAAATCACCATTTATTCAAACAGGATATCCGTGTTCAAAGATTTATATCCTGAATATAGCGGGATGTGCTATCAATGTTAAACCCCTAACATATTTTGAGAGTCTAGTTTAACGAGGCCACATCACTCGTTCACTCCTCAAACCACCAGAAGACTAGGAGGTGAGGTGCAAGCTCATAGGAAATATTCCATTGCAAATCATTAGCCATCAGAAGAATTTTTTAAATTGAGAGAAAATTCCAGATTGCAGACAGCCCATATTCAAGTTTTTTTTTTTTTTTTTTTTTTTTGAGTGACGAGAGAAACCCACAGCCACTATAGAGGGTGTGCACTAGGTAAACACCCCGTCTTGTGACCCTAGCGGGCAAAAGATCACAAGGAGGTAAACTAGCTTAGATTGCCCATAGTTGACGGGCTCAAACCAAGAAGGCCAATAGGCCAGCAAAGGATCACAAGAAGATAAACCAACCTAGGTTATCCTCACTTATCCATAACTAACTAGCTCAAACCAAGAAAGCCAACCGCCTCACCAAAATCCTAGTACATTTTGAAGGTCTGGTTGGGGCCATATCACTCTACACTCCACACCGGCACAACCCACCACAGACTAGGTGGAGGAGATGCAAATTCAATGGATATACTAACTCCAATGCAGAATCATTAAGCATCAGAAGAATTTCCCAATTTTAGACATAAAATTCAGATTGGATATCCATATTCAAGGAGTTATCCCCAGAGGACAGAGCAATTAGCACTTTTAAATTGAGCTTATAACATATTTACACAACAAAAAATTGTGAGGAAAAAAAAAAAAACTACCTTCAACAAATCAGGTCAAGGCCAGTATAAAACATTGTTCTAAAGAAGAGAACGAACAAATTACCTTCCCTTTCCTCTAAACAAACTTCATTTTAGATCTTTCTAGCAGAATTCATCTAAATTCAAGTTCAACTGAAGCTTTGATTTTAGCATTGAAAGCAAAGCACATATAATAAGCTTTATGGAAGTTCAGAACATACCAAGTTGCGCCATAGTTAATAACGGCCTGCAAGAACAGTTTTCGAATTGGAATTCAGCACACTTATGCATCTAGGGTCATATGAATCTGTGGGCAGACACATGCATATGCAGATATACAAGAAGATGGATAAAATTCAAAAGTTGAGGGGAAGAATATATACTGACTGGGGTTTTAGAAGTGCTGATTTGGTGAAAGATGTCCTTTAGGTTATCATCACCAGTGGCTATAACAAGGTTTCCAGGTTGAGTACTGCATGGATTTTCCTTGTGTTCTTTGTCATTCTGCTCCATTTTTGCTTCCCCTTCTGTGTTCTAATCTTTTTATCTTCTCTACAGGACTATCCCTCAACCCCCAGCTTATGTTATGACCACTACAAATTTGGTGAAAAAAATATATTGACAAAAATTTGTTAGGATGCTCAAAACATGAAAAAGGTAGATACTTCTAGCTTTTCATAAAATTTTGTATAACTTCAATATAGAGATATGATAAAAATATCCAAGGTACCCCAAATTGTCCTAATTCAACGAGACTAGTTGCAACTTGCATAACCCTGCTACAAATTCTACTTGGGAGTAGCAGGTTGCTCCATGATACTTTCGGAAGTCATTTTTAAGATTTTCAAACGAACCCTAAATCTTGAAAAACTGAAAACATGAAAGTTGTATATGGTTCTTCATTTAGTTTTTCATAAGATCTTGAATAACTTCAATCCGATTTTATATAGAGATGCAACACAAAATACTGAAAATTCGCCAAATTGTCCTAATTCAAGACGAGACTAGTTGCAACTTGCATCACCTTGCCACTAAACCTATTTCTCCTACCAGAATTCTACCTTAAGAGTAGCAACATAAGACTTCCAAAAATCATTTTTCAGGTTTCCAAACATACCTTCAATCTTAAAAAACTCAAAACATAAAAGTTGTAAATGTTCTTCTTTTAGCTTTCCATAAAATCTTGAATAACTTCAATCCGATTTCATATGAAAGATACGACAAAAATACTAAAGATACCCCAAATTGTCCTAGACTCCTAGTTCAATGAGACTAGTTGCAACTTGCATCACCCCGCCACTAAACCCGTTGCTCCTACCAGAATCCTTCCTAGGAGTGGCAGGTTGCTCCATGAGACTTCCACAACTCACCACAAGTCCTCTTGTACCTCCAAAAACAACTCAAAATGCTACTTCAATTTTGGCCTCAGACCAATACCCATTTGAATTGTTACAAGATGTTGTAGTTGTGACTATGCATCAAGATTGAAGCCAAACAAAGTATTACTGTCACACATATTAGGGGTGAGCAAACGGAGTCAGTTACGTAACCAACCGAAAAACCAATTGAAATTTTTTACCATCATAACCGACCGAAGGTGGTCCCGGTCAGTTACCCAAAAACCGAAAAAATAACAAATAATTCCACAATTAATAATTAAAAACTCTAATGTTTGCAATACTACAGTAGACAAAATGTTTTAAACCCAGTGTCCAGTAAATTAATATGTTTTGAATTGAAACTTACAATGATGATAGAAACATTGTCCAGTACCCAGGATTAGAAACAATGTAGAGCTGTCATGAATTTAAACTTACAGTGATGATAGTTTTAAGAACAATTATGTTTTAACAATGATACAAATAAAGAAAATGTAGCAAAATTAGTAGCAGCAGTCAGCAGAAGCAGAAATAGTAGTAAAATCAAAAAATTAAACTAAAGAAAAAAATAATTAAACTAAACATGAACTAACCAAATATGTACAAATTTACCTTGACTCCTTGAGGAGGAAACGGAGGAGTTGGCGAGTTGCAGTCGTTGAGCCCCGTACGGTCGCCGCTGAGTCGTTGCGTGGGTAGGGTCGTAGTGAGGTCTGACTGTTTGGCGTCTGCGGATGTGAAGAACGAGGGCAGAGGGAGTGACCAGAGTGCCGCCAAGGGCGGAGGGCGTGAGGCGGTGAGAGACGAGGGAGAAAGAGATGAGAAATGAGGGCGGAATCCGGCGGAAGAGTGGAGAAGGTGAGAAGCGAGGAAGGAATGAAGGATAGGCAAATTATACCATGTGGTGGTACTTTGGTCCAAAATAGAGGAAATTTCAATTTTGTTAGGTGTTGTTAATTTCAGTTCTCCATTTTTTAAGTGTTAATTTAGTATTTTGATTATGTAATTTTTTTTCAATTTTGATTATTGCGGTCAAATTGTCAATCAAATTTCGTCAAAAAATATTAATGGTTAAAAAATTGAAGGTATTTTAATTTTTTGCATGTTTTTTTTGTCCTCCCCATTTTTTTGCCGAATCTATGGAAATTCTTCGAAGAAGATGGTGATCCGGTCCAAGTTTGCAAACAGTTGTGTAGGCACTTCTTTTCGTATTCCTTAAGGTTCATGGTGGTGTTGTACCATGTTTTCCTCGATTCTGACATTTTAATGTCGGAAAGTGTCCTAAACTCATCTCCTTCTCCAAAATCCACCAGATTGTTCCTGACGTAGTCGCCGGACCAGTCCGCCTCGTTCCACTGCTTCACGAACTTAGGCCGGAACCCTTCCAGATTCGACGAATTTCCACAGATCTGGCAAAAAATGGGAAGGAAAAAAAACATGCAAAAAGACTAAAATACCCTCATTTTTTTAACCATTAATATTTTCCGACGAAACTTGGCTGACAATTTGGCCGGAGTGACCAAAATTAAAAAAAATTACATATTCAAGATACTAAATTGACACTTTTAAAAGTCGAGGACTGAAATTAACAAGACTCCTATAGTTATAGGACTAAAATTGAAATTTTCTCGTCCAAAATATTACTCCTTATACATATATACATAAAATATTACTCCGTATACATATATATACATGACAAAATATACTAAGTGCAAATACATCAGATATTATAAACATTTTATATGTCTACATTTAACATATTCTGTATATTGTATGTGTCTACAGTTAACCTATTATGTATCTACACTTAACAATTTAAATTTATATATATGCAGTTATCATGTTACGTGTTTGTAATTATCATGTGATGTGTCCCCGATTTATTTACAAAAATAATTAATTGTAAATACAAAATATGCCAGCTGCAAACATATAATATTTGAACCAAAATTCACAAATGTAACATGAACCCATGTCCATTGTATAACAATTGAAGGATAGGATGATTCTGGCAAAGGTCCCCACAGTTGTGCAGACGACGGTCCAAAACAATATCGCGAATATTATGCGTAAAAATAATGTACGTTATATTTTAAAATAATGGCCATTATGTTTTACAATAATGTACATTATATTTTAGAGTAATGAAACATCTAGGGTAATATAATGTACATTATGTTTTAAAATAATATACATTATGAGTTATAAAAATGTATATCGTAGCTGGGCGCACAAAAAATAAAATTAAACAAAACGATTTCGTTTTTAGAACATGGTTCACACAGCTGTGTGGACCACAATTCATGCAATAACTACTGGATTATTGTCTATTAAGTTTTGTTGAGCTATTATATATTTCGATTGGACTAAATATTACGGAGTATTTGTTATGGGCTATTAGCATACTAGCGGCAACACGGCAATTTATATCCTACACCACAGCGCGTGTTGCACTGTGCGCCCAGATGCAAAACAACATCGTTTTAATTTATTTATTTATTTTTTTTTTTGAAATTTCCCGCCCCAGTGTATGACAGTTAATTTTTCTTTAAAAAAAACTCCTGTTCAAAAATGTACATAATGTTATACTAGAATATACATAATTGTATACATGAATGTACATAATTATATAACAAAATATACATACTCTTTTTAAAAGATAATACACATAATCTAACATAATACATAATAAACATAAACTTTTAACATAATACACATCAACTCTTAACATCGGATGTACATAATTGTATAAAAAGAATGTACATAATTGTATAAAAAATATACATAACTGTATGAACAAATATACATAATTGTATGAACAAATATACATAATTGTGTGAGCAAATAATAATCACAGCCAACTTCCTACCGCGCCTCCCAAAACGACGTCGTTTTGGAAAGCGCGCGGCGCATAGTGTTACGCACGCCGTGGTATAGGGTATAACGATTGCGGCAACACACGGAGTATTTGTTATGGGCTATTAGCATACTAGCGGCAAGACTATTGTTTTGGACTATATATGTGTGTTAGTTATTAATCACCGACCAATAACCACCGAATAATCAAAATTAGTTATTGATTATCAGGAGGTTAACTCGTATCACTCCTACATTATAATATCACATAAGTGTGTGCCCGTGCGGTCGTGCATGTTTTTAAAACAAAATACAGGTGACTTTTCAGGTATTTCACTGCTTTATATTATATAGAGCTATAAATAAATGAAAACCATTGTTTCAACAAATTAAAGCTGTCAGATACTTCTTGTCAGACAATATATTTGAACATCCCTCTTTCAGTTGCAATAAAGTAAAACTACATTTCAATTATAATAATGGATATTCTTCATTCATATTAATGGTTTCTCTATTTCTCTTTCTAATCTTTCCCCCATCATCCTCCATAGTCACATGAGAGAGATACTATCATCAACACTTTCCCCCAAGACGTCCGACTTGCAGATATACAAGTCGCTTTTGGTTGCATATTCGGCCCCGCCCCATCGGGAAAGCTCAGTGTATTGGGATGGCGATCAGGAAGGAGTGGTGGGGATGTAATACTCAGGCTCGGTCCACGTTAGAGAACGCACCTGGATGGAAACTCTTGCACAACGCTTCGGCAGCTGCTTCTACCCGCGATAGATCCTGCATAAACGCCAAAACTACTGGCATTAAACGTGTTAAGAGTCCCACATCTATAAAATAAGAGAGAACATATGGGTTTATAAGGCCATGGGTTAGACTAGTTAATTGGTGGGATTCAATCTTTTAGCGTGGTTTGGCCCATGGGCTATATCTTAAATTATAACAAAACGCAACTTCCAACTACAAACTCCATAACCAATATCATATCCCTAGCCACAATACTTGCCTTTCCTTCAAATCTGATCACGAGATGGCCATGCCTAGATTCTCGATAGCCACCTGGTTGTCCATACAATAGGGGAATCGATTAAATAGTTTATTTTCAGTTTTGTTTTCAATAACGCTATAGAAACGTCCTTACCAATGTAAATGTCAGGAAATTGAAGACACAGCTTCGATAGAGGTTGAGCAACTTCCACCTGCATTATATTGCGGGTTAACTTCAAAAGTGGGCTGTTGCCTTATTACTCGGCACAACCATTTGTTAAACACTAAAAACCTCGAAGCCTTTTTAGGTGAAAATAGTCATTTATAGGTGGATACTGGCAGTAGTGTATTTGAGTATTTTACAAAATCGGGAAACTGCATATAAATATTAAATATCAAGCATTGATTCATGAAAGAAACGAGGAATTTTACTATAACTCACATCAAAAAGAGTCGTTTCCAAGCACTTGGATACAAATGGCTCGGCCAATTCAAGGAGACCTTGAGATTTTGTCAATTTAATTAAACAATCCCATTGCTCATCCAGTTCAGTAACATTTGTTGCATTCAGAATGATCACATTATGGCACTTGATCTGCACAAGAGAATAAAAATATAAAATACTTGATGATATCCAACTTTACGGCAAGAAAAAAATTATTTCCCCAGTGAAAGAAACAACACAACATTGAAGGCACACAATTACAAAGAAAAACTGCAAAACTAGCCACAGATGATCCGCACAGGAGATGGGAAAAAACTAGTTAGAGAAAATTCAATCATGAAGAGACCTAAGTACCCTATAAATTTTTTTAAATAATAAAATAATTAAAAAAAAAAAACCACACAAACACACACACACACTGCATTGCTGGGTAAAAAAAATCATGTGCAACTAAACCGTAATGAACACCAGTATCAGAAAAACATAATCATCTTATCAGAAACGGTGGCCTACATACCAAAGGCACCTCCAGCTGTTCATGATGCAACAATTCTGTAATACCCTCTGGCAACTGTGCCATCTGAAGAAAGAAAAAGAAAAAAAAAAAAAAAAACCATTTCAGTTACTCAAAGTAATCATCATGCCACCAACTTCAAATCACGTAAAATCCTATGTCAGTAGATCTATCCCATAAGTTTCATGTCTTACATAAGCATACGTTCTGTTAATATTTTCCTATCTGCATGATTATAAATAACTTTTTATTATAATGTGTTACAAGACAAAAATGAAGTATCGTAAATTCAATATTTGGCAGAGAGATGATATGAAGTAGATATGAAGAGTGCATTAAAATATAATTTGAAGCTCATTTCAAGCCTTCGTTTGGTGCAACCTCATTCTTATCCCCAGTGCATTTTCCACCAATTATGCGCCTGAGATATTCTTCAAATTCTTCATCAGGAGCCTGCAGCCAGAGTATGGAATAGGATAATAAATAAATATTTTATTGCAGCCAGAGTATGCCACTGTTCAAGTGAGTCCACCCCTTCCCATGGGGCCGTGTGGACATATCTGGTCCATTAAAAGGTAGAGATCAATGGTCAGATCTGGTCCATTATCAACTGTGCAACTACTAGATCTGTCCACACAGACTCATGGGAAGGGGTGGACTCATTTGATCATGAGTATATATATATATATATATATATATATATATATATATATATATATATATATATATATATATATATATATATACACACACACATACACATATATGTCCGGCTCCCATAAGAACCATGTCCTAGGTGAGAATCTGTGGACAAATCCAAACCATCGACCTAGTAGATCTAACGGTTGAAAA